TTTATTTATTTGGCAGAGGGTGGCAAAGGGAGAGAAAGTCTTAAGTAGAGTCCTCAGTGTGAGCATAGAGCCCCAGGTAGGGCTTAATCTCATGACCCTGAGATCCTGACCTGAGCCAAAATCAAGATTCGGATGCTCAACTGACTGTGCCAGCCAGACACCCCAAAGATTTTACTTTTTTAAGTAATCTTTACACTCAACGTGGGGCTCTAACTCACAACCCCAGGATCAAGAGTTGCATGCTCTACCAACTAAGCCAGCCAGGCACCCGTCATTTTTTGTATTTTTTAGGTAGCTTTATTGAGGGATAATTTTATACAAAGAACTGAATATTTAATGTGTAAAATTTGATGCATCTGGACATATGCAAACACCTGTGATAATTTCACCATAATCATAGCTTGCTTTTTCTTTTTTTTTTTTTTTTTTTTTTTTTAAAGATTTTATTTATTTATTTGACAGACAGAGATCACAGGTAGGCAGAGGCGGACAGAGAGAGAGAGAGGGAGAAGCAGGCTCCCTGCTGAGCAGAGAGCCCGATGCGGGGCTCGATCCCAGGACCCTGAGATCATGACCTGAGCCGAAGGCAGAGGCTTAACCCACTGAGCCACCCAGGCGCCCCACATAGCTTGCTTTTTCGAACAACAACTAACAGATTTTGAGTACTCATATGGTTCAAAAATCAAATGTAAAAAGATATTTCCCCATCTTCCAGCCTGTTCTCTATCCCACTTACATTGCCCCTCTCCCTTGGTAACCCCTTTTAGTTAGTTTCTTGTGTATCATTCCAAGGTATTTGTATGAATATAAGCATATATTCTCGGGTGCCTGGGTGGCTCAGTGGGTTAAGCCTCTGCCTTCGGCTCGGGTCATGGTCTCAGGGTCCTGGGATCGAGGCCCGCGTCGGGCTCTCTGCTCAGTGGGGAGCCTGCTTCCCCCTCTCTCTCTGCCTGCCTCTCTGCCTGCTGGTGATCTCTCTCTCTCTGTCAAATAAATAAATAAAATCTTAAAAAAAAAGCATATATTCTCGTTTCTCCCCCATTTATGTGTGAAAGGAAACATGCTATACATTACTGTTCCTCACCTTGCTCTTTTGTCAAGTTATCTTTTTTTTTTTTAGATTTTGTTTTTTTATTTATTTGACAGAGATCACAAGTAGGCAGAGGGGCAGGCAGAGGTGGGGGGGGGGAAGCAGGCTCCCCACTGAGCAGAGAGCCCTATGTGGGGCTCGATCCCAGGACCCTGGGATCATGACCTGAGCCCAAGGCAGAGGCTTTAACCCACTGAGCCACCCAGGTGCCCCTTGTTAAGTTATCTTAAGTGATATCTGTATCAACACATAAACATTTCCTCATTCTTTGGTGGTGGTTGTTGTTTTTATGCCTTCATAGCATTCCATCATATTTTTGTGCCAAAATTTATCTAGCTCCCTGTCAATGGACATAGTCATATTACATATGTACGAGTTTATCTAGGATTATTGGGTGGAAGGGTCTGTGTTATTTGAAGTTTAGGTAGATATTGTTGAAATACCTTTTAGCTTTCTTGATTGGTGATTTTTTAAAAGATTTTATTTATTTTATTTTTATTTATTTGATAGGGAGTGAGCAAGAGAGAAAGAGAGCACAAGCAGGGGGAGAAGGAGAAGCAGACTCCCCATGGAGCAGGGAGCCCGATGCAGGGCTCAATCCCAGGACTCGGGATCATGACCTGAGCCGAAGGCAGATGCTTAATCAACTGCACCACCCAGGAACCCCCAAAATTTTCTTTATTTGAGAGATAATGAGAGAGCAGGCAGGGTGGGGAGCAGAGAGAGAAGAGCAAGCAGACTCTGCTGAGTGTGGAGCCTGACGTGGGGCTTGATCACAGGACCCTGAGATCATGACCTGAGCAGAAAACCAAGAGGTCACTTAACTGACCGAGCCATCCAGGCACCCCACTGACTGATGATTTTTAAGTATGAAAAGAGCAGCCCAAATTCCATTTTCCCCGATTCCCCCAAGCCGAAGGAACCTGTCCTAATCTCTTCTGGTGCACGTCCGTGTCATTCACTTAACAGCCCTCGCCTCTTCTGCATGTGTTCACGTGCACGTTATTTCTCCACCTAGAGTGGAAGAGTTCAGGTCTTCATCTCACATCCTCAGAACTACTCTGGTCCCCTCTGGACACATCTGCTCATTGATCAAGTATTCATGTTTTTGTACAAGAAGAGAAATCTCTGCTTCGGACCTGAAAATAAGGTGGTTGCCTCTTTGGTCCTTGTTAGTATTTTATTGAGACAAAACTCTTCGAAGGGCAGATGGCCCCAGGCAGATACCACAATCCAATTTAAAAATATTTATTGCACATCAGAAGTGTAAAGACACAGGGGTACTTCCTCCTCTCTCTCTCTCTCTGCCTACTTGTGATCTCTGTCAAATAAATAAATAAAATTTTAAAAAAAGAAGAAGAAGTGTAAAGACACAGTGTGAGAGGTTGGGGAGGAAACAAAATGAATGAGACCCAGGACTGCCCCTTATGAACCTTTTCCCAAGTTTATTTGGCCTATACAGTGTTCTGACATTTTTTCAAGAACTTCTTTAATTGGGGTATTACATACATAAACATACACAGATCTTAACTCTACAGCTGGAATGATCACCAAATGTGCTTGAAATATTTTTTTTGTCACCAAACCTTAAAAATCTCTTGAAAAACCAGCTGTGGTAATAGTTCCCCCCCTTAGGGTACTTGTTTCCCAATTTTCTGTTCCCTTACATCCCTGGTCCTCAATAAAGTAAGATGCCCAGGTATTTGGGAGGAAGATGGGGTTTCTTGGGCAGGTTGGGAGAGCAGAGATAAGAAAACGAGAAACTGAACAGAAGAAAGGAATTGAGCAGCATCAAACATCAAACTGCTCACTGCTGGATGTTTACTTTTAACAAAGTTAAAGCGTGTTTGTAATAAAAAATAAAAATTCAAAACCCAATTCTAAAAGTGTTCCTCAATGTCACAGAACAGATTTTAAAACTGCAGCCACCTGCCTTCCAAAGTTTATCTCCGCTGCACTCAGAATACTTCAGCCTACACACAGGAACTCTTGTTTAAGATTTCGCTGTTGTTACATTGTGCAGGCTCTCCAAGAATTAACCACACTTAAAAAATTATTTTTTAGGGGCGCCTGGGTGGCTCAGTGGGTTAAAGCCTCTGCCTTCGGCTCAGGTCATGATCCCAGGGTCCTGGGATCGAGCCCCGCATTGGGCTCTCTGCTCAGTGGGGAGTCTGCGTCCTCTCTCTCTCTCTCTGCCTTCAAAAGACTTTTTTAAATCTTTCTAAAAAATTAGTTTTTAAAAAAAATAATGCACGCACATGGTGAAAAACAAACAATTCTGTGAAATAACATAGAAAATTCAGTTTTTTCTCATTCCCTCTGTAGTCCCTATCACCAGAAGAAACTTCTATAACCAGTTTCTTGTGTTCTTTCCAGAGATATTCTCTGAATACGCACATATGTATGTGTGCGCACACAGGCACACACAAACACACAAAGCCTCCCCCTTTTCTACACAGATGACAGCAAACGGTGTGGTTCTTTGCACCTGTTTTGTTTTCATTTCACTTCCTGGACCAAAGGAGATTTCTTGCCATCAGTATATACAGCCACACTGTTGGCTTCATCATAGTACATTATATGAAGTTTGGATAATCTAACCAGTCTCTTACTGGTACATGCTTAGGTTTGCGATCTTTCTACTAGGAACAGCACTAAGAACATCTCTGCATTTATCTTTGTGGGTGGATGCGCATGGTTATCTATGGGATCAGTTCCTAGAATTGGAGTTCTGGGGTTGGAAAGATAATGTGCCTTGGAAATCTTGTTTGTGATAGCCCATTTGCCCCCAGAAAGAGCCTACCAGTCTGCATGCCATCAGTGTATGGCATTACAAAGTGCAGTTTCTCTGTATCCTTGCCAGCACTTTTATCAGGTATTTTGATCTTTGCCAATCTGATAGATGGAAATTATGTTTGGGGTGCCTGGGTGGCTGAGTTGGTTAAGCCTCCAACTCTTGCTTTTAGCTCGGGTCATGATCTCATCATGGATTGTGGGATTCAGCCCTTGTTCCAGCTCGCTGCTCAGTGGAGAGTCTGCTTAGGGATTCTCTCCTTTACCCCACACATGCGAGCTCTCGCCCTCTCAAATAAATAAACCTTTTTTTTAAACATTGTGTTTTATTGGGTTTCAGTCTGCCCTTCTCTTGTCATGATCCAGCATTATTTTGTCCAGCAAGAACACTGCTAGACTGGCCAATTGGAGCCCCACTTACCACTCATCATTATTATCTGCCATGCTCTCTGATTCCATTTTCTTTTTCTTTCCCTTGAAGCAAAAGTGAGACAGACTTGTTCAAAAAGAAAAAAAAGTCTTCATGGGGAAGAAACATTACAGATGTAATAACTAAATTACACCTTTTTTTTTGACAAATCCATTCTCATTTCTCTGACCTCTCTCTCGTTCTTGTCACCCAATCTGCCACTACATCTTTCAAATCTTTTCTTTCTGTGCCTTTCACCACTACCTCACCCCAGTCAGAGACAGGAACACTTCAGCCTGCCTTCTGTGTGAACAGGTTTTTCCAAAACAGAGTTCTCCAAGAACTATGGGCTTATGTCCTTGGCGATACCTGAAAACTATTTCCGTTCAGTACCCCAGCAGTAGAATTCCAGTTCCATGAGCGCATTGATAACCCCAGCCTCTAGTACACTGCTTGCATATAGTAGACACTCAGTAACTGTCTTCATAGTGACATAAAAATATATACATAAATTATAGTAAAACCTGCATAACGTAAAATTTGCCATCCTAACCATTTTAAGTATACCGTTTAGTGGCTTGAAGTATATTCGCGTCCCAATGGTTTTCTTTTGGATGAATGAGTAAGTCGTGATATTGGTTATTTGTCCCTGAAAGTCAGCAAGAGCCAGACCATCGTTTTCATTGATGGTGTTGTTCTTCCCTCCAGACGAAGTCATACGGAAGCGTCTCCTGATTGATGGAGATGGCGCTGGAGATGACCGGAGAATCAATCTGCTGGTGAAAAGTTTCATTAAGTGGTGCAACTCCGGGTCCCAGGAAGAAGGGTATTTCATCTGACTGTCGTTGCTACACCAGTGTCCTAATCAGAGTTTAGACCGTGTATACAGCCCTGTCAGTAGTTCAGCTTTTCACTCTCCTTCGGTTGTCCAGTGGAGGCAACTCTAGATTTTTCTGGCCCTTATTTCTCTTCAGAAGCCTGCTTTGTGTTTATGCAAATGCGCAGAAGGTGTAGTGGTTAAGAAATAAGGATTAAATTCTGGCTCATTCATTCGGTCACTTTCGGCATTTAGTTAGACAAAATATCTAAATGGAATTTTCTCTTTTGCTTTTTTCATAAAATATTTGAATCACTCTTTATAGCACTACTTTTTCTTTTTTAGTTTAAATTCAATTAACATGAGATATATTATTTGTTTCAGGGGTACAGGCCTGTGATTCATCAGTTTTATGTAACACCCAGTTCTCATTACAACGCATACCCTCCCCAATGTCTATCACCCAGTTACCCAAATCCTCCACTCCCCCCTCCCCTCCAGCAACCCTTTTTTTTTCAGTAAGCTCTAGGCCCAGTGGGGCTTGAACTCAGGACCCGAAGATAAGGGGTCACCTGTGCTACTGACTGAGTCAGTCAGCCCAGTGCCCCAATTTTCTCTTTCGTAAATAAGCTAATAAAAAGTTTTTATATACTACAGGGTTCTATATATATTTAATAACTTTTTTGCCTTAGAAAAATTTCCCTCATTTGAATTAGCTTTTCACATAAATCATTGTTAAAGAGTGAAAATTTTGTGAAAATAAAATTGTGAGGATAAAAAACCATCCTGATTAAAACTTTTTTTTTTAATGGGGCGCCTGGGTGGCTCAGTGGGTTAAAGCCTCTGCCTTCGGCTCAGGTCATGATCCCAGGGTCCTGGGATCGAGCCCCACATCGGGCTCTCTGCTTAGCGGCGAGCCTGCTTCCCTCTCTCCCTCTCCGCCTGCCTCTTTGTCTACTTGTGATCTCTCTGTCAAATAAATAAATAAAATCTTAAAAAAAAAAAAGAAAGAAAGAAAATTAAACAAAGATATTCTAAATTATTTTAAATAAAGCAAATGATTCTCTCAGAACTTGGTAGTTCTGCCTGCACTGTAATATATAATTGTTCAACTTTGGTATTTCACAAAAATCTTTAGTCTGTTTTTCTCTTTTCCACCAGATACAGCCAGTACCAACGTATGCTGAGCACACTGTCCCAATGTGAATTTTCAATGGGCAAAACTTTGTTGGTATATGATATGAATCTCAGAGAAATGGAAAATTATGAAAAAATTTACAAAGAAATAGGTAAACTTAAAACAATTTATGTTTCTGTGTAAAATTTTAATTTTTATGGTGTAAAGGAAGTAATATCTACTAGCATTTTTCTTTGATCAGTGGTAAAATAATAACAATGACAATATTAATAGAAAGACTGTGGTAAATGTTAGCTCCAAAAATGTATTCTGATATGATTACGGTACTTTGGATTGTAGCTGTTTTTTAAACACCAGCCTCTATTAGCAATGGAACTCAATTTAAAAACACATTTTAAAATGGAAAATGGATGAAGATGATGCATGTTGCTGCAACTGTCTTTAAAAAATCCCTTTTCACGTAGAATGTAGCATTGCTGGAGCACATGAAAAAATTGCTGAGTGCAAAAAGCAAATTCTTCAAGCGAAGCGGATACGAAAAAATCGCCAAGGTAAGGGTTTTGAGGGATTTAGGGTGCAAATACTTTATTACTGAGTACTATTTTCATACAGTTTTTAACGTTGTGTGGTAAAATCTTCAGCAAGAATCAATCTGAATTAAAAAAGAAAGAGCTAAACTTAATTCTTTAAAACTATATTATTCTTCAAAATAGTGGAGAAGGAAGGCTATGCTGAAAAACATTTTTTTTTTGCTGTATTATATTGATTATCCAAATATTTCTTAAGTATTCATTTTTTCTTACTGTTTTCAGACCCTTTGCCTAAGTAATGTTATCGTTAATCAGCAGAGACAATTCACACAAGTACACTAGACCTAAGGTTTTGTTTCTTATTTGTTTGTTTCATGGAGTTACTTTCCAGGAAAAAGAAAAGAATTTAAAGCCCAGTGAGTTTTTAAGTACAAACCAAGCGAACATTTAAAGTTTAGCTTCGTCCTGATCTCTTTTGGCTTTGTTTGTTTGTTTTTAAGATTTTATTCATTTATTTGACAGAGAGCAAGAGCACAAGCCAGGGAGAGCAGCAGAGGGAGGATAGGGAGAAGCAGGCTTCCTGCTGATCAGGGAGCCTGATATGGGGCTCCATCGTTATCTTCAGGGAACTAGAGTTTTCAGGGAACTAGAGTCTCTGGGAAAGGAACTAGAGCATCTTTCACATATTAAAGAAAGTGTTGAAGATAAGGTCAGATTATGACCTGAGCTGAAGGCAGGTGCTTAACCGACTGAGCCACCCAGGCACCCCTGTTTTGTTTTTTTATTAGGTTATGTCATTGCAGTCCATAAAAACTATTTCAAAATTGTTTCAATGGCTGGGGCATTGTTCCTCCTATAATGTAAGTTGAAAGAAAGGAAGATAAAAAATATAATGCATAAGGGCGCCTGAGTGGCTCAGTGGGTTAAAGCCTCTGCCTTCGGCTCGGGTCATGATCCCAGGGCCCTAGGATCAAGCCCCGCATTGGGCTGTCTGCTCGGCAGGGAGCCTGCTTCCCCCTCTCTTTCTGCCTGCCTCTCTGCCTACTTGTGATCTCTGTCTGTCAAATAAATAAATAAAGTCTTCAAAAAATAAAAAAAAAAAATATATATATATATATATATAAAAAATGCATAATCACAACTGTGACCTATATACGAAAAACAAGAAGGAAATAGAAAATGTTAATGGTTATTTTGGGTCTGTGGATTTTTAGGGCTTGGTCTTTTTTTTTTTTCCTTGCAGTGGACATGTATTTTTTTGTAATCAAAAACTTTTTTATTAAAAGTCACACTTTCATTGAATCAAAATGCTGATTTTCAAAACAATGAACTTTACTTTTTAATGAGCCAATTAAGATGTTCAGTTCCTTATTTAAAAAAATTGGTTTTGAACTCATTCAAAAATACATGTGGTCAAGTTCAGTGGCCAATTTGCAGAAGAATATATCAACTTATTTAATAATTATTATCGATTCTAAAAACATTTTAAAAGGTTTCATAGTGTTTTTCTCAATTAGTTGAGGCTTTGAAATGAATGCTGCCATTCATCAGTTCAAGGTTAATGGGAAACAACAGGGAAATTTGGAGACCTCAGTGGAAGAGAAAAAAGAAATTTTATCATTTCTGAATTTTAAATTGATTTTAAATCTCTGAACTCTTTACCTTTAGAATGAGGATGAGAAGTGTTTGCCATTGTTAAGGTCTGCAGTGAATGGTAGTATACTGACCTCGCTGACCTTCTCTTTGCTGGGCAAATAGTGAATAAGATCCTCTTCATAATCAGTCCACTTAATGATCAATAAAGGGCTTCAGTTCACTTTGCTATGCTAGCCTCTTATATCCTGCCCAGGGATAGGTAAATAGAAAAACAGAGTGGGAGCAAAAGGCCCCAAAAAGGGAACAGTTTTGAAATCATGTTGAACCAAGTGACATTGGCAGTACTCTTTCCATCCTTCAGTGTTTTCATCTTTATGCACTGACAAAGTGATTAGGAGAGACCTGTGATATTATACCTTTTTCTTCATGTCCATGTTCAAAAGAAAACCTTAATTTGGTAAATATTTTGTATCTTTCAGAATATGATGCTTTGGCTAAAGTGATCCAGCACCATCCAGACCGGCATGAGACATTAAAGTAAGTTTAGAGTTTACTTTGAAAGGAACTAATCTTTATAAATTTATAACGTTTACATACTAGCCTATGCATTCCATTTTTATGGGAGTACATAATATGTTTCAGAAGGAGGGGTCAGATCTTCCGAATTATATATACTACCAGTTGACTGAATTTTTCCTTCCTCTGATCTTACTGTCTGTAGTTCTAAAACAAATGAATATATATATATCACAAATGAAAATAGATAAAATATGGTAGATTATATATACAATACTAAATGAGCAATTTAAAAGAACAAACTAGATATATACTTTTTTTCTTTTCTTTTTTTTTTTTTTTTTAGATATATGCTTGTTAAACTCAGATCTCAGGGGCACCTGGGTGGCTCAGTCTGTTAAGCGTCTGCCTTCGGCTCAGGTCATGATCCCAGGGTCCTAAGATCAAGTCCTGCATCGGGCTCCCTGCTCAGTGGAGAGTCTGCTTCTGTGTCTGCCTCCCCCAGCTTGTGCTAGTGCTCTCTCTCTCTCTGTCTCTTAAATAAATTAATTAAAATCTTTAAAAAAAAAAAAACCTTAGATCTTAAAAATATAATCAGTGAAAAGAAGAATAGAAGACAATGAATTTTAAGTTATTCCTAAGTTTCTGTAACACATACAGAATAATAACCATTTATAAAAGTTAACCCCCCCCATTACATACTAGTACTGTATATTATTTAGAGAGACAAATATGTGAATGAAAAAGGATTGGCGTGATGAAGTGATTGCCTGAGTAAGGAATAAAGGAGGAAAAATGGTCTGGGATAGAGGATAGCCAATAAGGTTCTAAGAGGATTTCAAGTTAATCTGAAATGTTTCATTTCTTTTACCAAGAGGGAAAAAAAAAAGAGGAAAGACTTTTTTTTTTGGTCAAATAAGTATGATAAAATGTTAAAAGTTATCGGTTCTTTTGGTGTGATATCCTATTATGTGTGTTTTCTTAGGTTTTAAAAACTTTTTAGAAATCTGATTTTAATAAAGAAAAGTATATACTTAGAATTTAAAAAGACCATCCCTAGCTTCAAAGTTTCATCATAATGGAGTTTAATAACTTCTTATCCTTTTTTTTTTAATTTTTAAAATCCTATTTAGTAACTAAAAAGTTAGGTATTAATTGTGACTTCTGTGCCCCCAGTTAGCAAACTTTAACACTGTTTTATTGTTTTCAGGGAACTAGAATCTCTGGGAAAGGAACTAGAGCATCTTTCACATATTAAAGAAAGTGTTGAAGATAAGGTATCTATACACATACATTGGTCTCTATGATATGTATATGTGTATAGATCAATGTGTATTAATTTTTTTTCTTGTTTACACAGCTGGAACTGAGGCGGAAACAGTTTCACGTTCTACTTAGTACCATCCATGAACTTCAGCAAACGCTAGAAAGTAAGTAGAAGTAGTCACAGAATGAATGTTTATAAAGACTTTTAAATGATCCAGGGGCATGCCTTCTAAAACACACATCTTGTTGAGAGAGTAGACCTTCAGTTTCAGAACAGGAGTATAGTTGGATGATGTTAGAAGTACTCAAGCTGTTCAAGTTTCTGCGTATATGATTTAAAATACATGTCCTGTGGTTCACATTAAGAGAAATTTAAGGATGATAGATTTGGAATTCTTCTTGGTTTATTACAGTTTATTGCTCTAAAGTAACAATGCAGGATCCAGGCAGGCAGTGGTCAGTGAGTGGAGTAATAGTGCATAAGCACGTTTGCATAGTCGGTAAATGGAAGGTGCTTTGAGAAACTTGAGACTAGCTCTTTGTATTGACTGTTGCCAATTGGAAATGTTTATGTTATCTGACCTCCTTATTGTTTTTACGAAAAACCTAAAACCTAGATTTTTTTTTTTTAATGTGTTCTATCACATAAATTTTACACTTTGACTTAACTAATAAACACCAACAACCAAAACAGCACTTTTAAAACCAAGCACTGTGTTGGCCGATGACAGTCATAGGCTGCCATTTTGCCATCTTTGTTTTAGACATATTGGCTCATAAAGGTTAAAAATGTTGTGATGTATTCATTAAACATATAATTTAAACAAATTAGACTGAAGTTTTACGGTTCTTCTCAATTGCAGATGATGAAAAGCTCTCAGAGGTAGAAGAAGCTCAAGAAAGCACCATGGAAACAGATCCTAAGCCATAGACAGGCTAATGGTTCACACTTCCCAAGAATGCAGAAGTAACGTCATGTTCCTAGTGCATTCAGAATTTGTTGTGCTCTTCAGATATTTAAAGTTTTGGCAGTAAACTACTTTGCTTTTAAATATTAATGCACAGTTCATTCCTATTTCTTTACACAAAGGAAGAAAACTTCACTATAGATTAATTTGTATTGAAATGTGTTTTTTATTCTTAAAAGGTAGGAAGCAATATCCAAAATTGTTTAATAAAATGTTTTCAAGGCAGATATGTTTGTTCTCATTAGCTTTCTAAGTAGTTTTTATAAAATAAATTGAGGATTGTGAGAAAGTGGCATTTGTAGAATGTCTGTGAAAAAATGAGTCAGTCTGGAAATCGTTACCATCTTTGAAAATGGAATTCGTAAATAGGCTTCATGAGGGCTTTGAACTTGTGAAATTGTGTACAAAGTGTCTGTGGTGTGTCCTCATTTGGCAAGAGGTTGCCTGATCTAACAGTCAGTGGTATAAGAAGTAATTACAAGAGCAAAGTAAATGAATCATGCATTGCCTTCTAGATCTCTCAATGTAATGCTTAAGCAATGTGGTTGTTAAACATTTTGTTATTATGTTTTCTTCTACTGTTTCATTTTTAGGAGTCATTTTCAGTAGAAAAAACATATCAACAAAGAAAAAATTGTCTCAGAAAAATAATCTATTAAGATGGTCAGTCTTGCATAAACGATTTCATGATCTTAAAAATTAAGCTAAGGCTAAATCAGTTGTAATTTTCTTAAGTTGTGAATTTAATGTTCCATACTTGTTAGCTTCCATCCATATCCATTTCTTTTAGTTCGGAAACATGACATTTTGCATGAGTCATACCTTAAACAATGTTACATTTTTGTAATTTTAGTAAGAATTCTTATCTTTAAGTATGAAAGTTTAAATTTAACTCAGTAGTAGTCTTATTACAAGTGTCATAATACCATTAAATGCTTCTAATTTCATCTGGCAAATCCTGGGAGAAATTTATTTGCAGAATTGCTATGCCCTGATAAATGTTTCTGTTTTCCAATATTAATAAGAATTATGAAGCAAAAATTTGCTAACATGGACTCAAAATTAAAAATCAGTTGTTCAAAAAAGGATTTTTTTAAAGACTGTTGTGCAGAATATTCTAAGAAATTTCCATCTCCCCAACTGATAATTCACTAGAGAGATTTATTCAGGATTATGTACCAAAAGATAAGAATTCCTATAGAGATAACTCTTATGCAGTCAGGAACAGAATCAGAAGCAGCAGCAAGTACATGGGAAACATACATTTTTCAATTTATACTTCCTCATGGTTCTCTTGGACATCCTCTGGAACTGCTTCGAAGACTGAAGAATTTCGTCCCCTAGAAATTCACACTGTTGAAGCTCAGCATGTCTTTGGGCCAATAACTTCATGGATTTATCTGTCACTGTCTCTATGAGGTCATCCACCTATGACAGATGCAAAGAAATGTAGCCGTATGTGGGAAATCTTTGTCAAAACCAACGAGACAGTGGTTTTCCCTGAGAGACAACTTAGGGAACCAGTGGACATCCTGCAAATCCCAAAGTATTATTCTTTTTTTTTTTTTTTAAAGATTTTATTTATTTATTAGGCAGAGAGAGATCACAAGTAGGCAGAGAGAGGAGGAAGCAGGCTCCCTGCCGAGCAGAGAGCCCGATGCGGGGCTCGATCCCAGGACCCCGAGACCATGACCTGAGCTGAAGGCAGAGGCTTTAACCCACAGAGCCACCCAGGTGCCCCCCAAAGTATTATTCTAATTCAAGTCCTAGCAATCAGAGCTCGAAAAGATGCATTTACCACCCAGTGGTAAAGACGATCTAAGTTCTTCTCAAAAGAAGCCTTTGTGCGTGCCTTCATTTTAATTGAATTCACTTAATATTTATTAGGCACACAACATCGTCCTAGGTGCCCCTAGCATTCCTTTAGCCACTCTCAGGATGCCCCCTACTAACATTACTTCTTTGTGCTAATCATTAATTTCATCCCACAGCCCTGCCCTCTAGCAGGGCTGTGTATTCAGTTAAATTTGATTTGCCCCTCTGTGATGCTTCTGAAACACAAAGTAAAAGCCTTTGTCCACTACCTGCATCTGAAGTTTTCCTACTGTCAAATCTGATTTTCGGAGGATGTTTTCCATGCTATGTTTCTTTTTTTTAAGTGCTGGAAAGTGCGATCTCTTTTTTGATGAATACGGAACCTATCATAAGAATGCAAAAACACATCAGATTAAGAAGTGCCGATGTTATTTCTGTGACAGTGCTTAAATAAGAATTCTCACCCTTTGCACATTCTCCTATAAACTGAACATTTGCCACATAAGAACGTTGGGTTGGAGAGCATATTCATATTATTCTCCACGCCCCATGTATCTCCTTTGTGCCCAGAGCTCCCTTTGAAGAGATCTACAGGGTGCAGAGAAATGAGATTGTCTGGTTCTGAAAGAATATATAGTGCCCGGAAAAAAGCTGGTCACTCACAAGGGGAAAAAGAAGAAATTGCCTCTGCAGCCACTGAGCACAGTGAGGGTGTGGGGCTGCGGAGGACCAGTGTCCCAAAAAGCTCATTATCACTGCATCTAGTTGTTAATTTGGTCTCTTTTTTGCAGGTTTCCTTATTTTCGTGGCAGACATGTCTCCAAACATAAAAAGAAGGCTCTGGGTTCTTTTTGCCCCATGCCTGATACTTCTCCTGTCGTCCCTGGCTGGCTGCTTCTAAGTACCTGTCTTAATAGCGTTGCTATTGGAAATCATTCCTAGGTCACGGCTCCCGGCTAATAGGCCCCTTTTAGACTTACTGGGTTCACTCTTCCTTCCCCTTGTGCTTAGTGACTTTCATTGAGACTGTTGTGAAACCGACACAAAGTGGGACGTGGGACCATATCTGGGACTTAACCCTGTGTCTGAGTTTACAAATGAGTCTGCTGACCCACCACGCTGCTCTGCCAGCTTGCCCAGGCTCCCATGTCACTTGCAGGACCCTCCCCAATCCATCTATATATATAGTTGGACCCCTCTTTTTTCCCCGCCCATAAAACCCAGTACTTTTTCCTACTGATCAGTTACCACATGGGGTAATTCCTAAGTTATTTTTGTGTTTGTTGAATACCACTGTTCTAGAGTCAAACACCTAGATGGTGCAGGAAGGTTGTATACAACAGCACCAGTTGTGGCTTGTGGTATACTGGAGACAATGTGCCTCTTGCCAAGGGGCCAGCCTCTGCATGTCTCCTGCTCTTATCATGAGGAATTGTGGGCCTAGTGTTTCTAAATCCTATTTTTCAAAAGAGGGCTTAAAGTCCAGATTTTTAAAAAATAGTCTCATTTTTAAATGTGACCGATCAATGCAAACATGTTGTTGAGATCACTCTGAGAGCTAAATAAAACCCTTTGCAAACTTTTAAGTCTTTTGCTGAACAGTAATCCCACTGTAACCAGATGTGTCCATTTTTTTTTTCTTTTTTGGTCAATGATATTTGTGTCCTAAGAATTACTTCTCTACACTGAAGTCATTTCTATCATCCTCCACAAATTTTAAGGTTTTACCTTTTCCACATAGATCTATATATAACCCAATAGGAATTAACTTTTTTTTTTTTTTAAAGATTTTATTTATTTATTTGTCAGAGCGAGACAGGGAGAGAGAGCGAGCACAGGCAGACAGAATGGCAGGCAGAGGCAGAGGGAGAAGCAGGCTCCCTGCCAAGCAAGGAGTCCGATGTGGGACTCGATCCCAGGACGCTGGGATCATGACCTGGGCCGAAGGCAGCTGCTCAACCAACTGAGCCACCCAGGCGTCCCAGGAATTAACTTTTATGTATGGCATGAGATGGGGATCGAATTTCTTTTTTCCCATATGAACACCTACTTGTCCCAGTGCCATTTATTCAAAAGGTTATCCTTACCTCAATGCCCTGCAGAGCTGTGGTTTAATATCTGTCCCCCTTACTAAATCATAAATTTCACAGGCCAGGAATATGTCCATTGGATCACCTTTAGAGTTCGCAAATCTAGAAATTGCCCAGTATGTAGTAGGAATACAGTAAATGTGAACCTGTCACACAAAAGGCAAAATTCAAAACTAATATTGGTGCCTTTTGAGAATGATACTCTACTCTGGAGCCCCTCTGTTCAATAGAACTTTCTGCAAATACAGAAATTTTCCTTATTGGCTAATATAACAACCACAAGCCACATGTTATTATCGAGCAACTTGAAATGCAGTTAGTGCAACTGAGGAAGTGAACTTGAATTTTAATTAAATAGCCACATATACTTAGTGGCTACCATTTTGGATAGTACGATTAGTATTTAGCATAGAGATTAAGAGTAAGGACCCTAGAGCCAGATCTGCCTGGATTTGAAACCTGTTTCTCCCACTTATCTAAGCAAATTATTGAACCTCTCAGTACCATCCCTAAAATAAGGATAATATTGCTACCAACCTTTTTCTTTTCTTTTTTATTTTTTTAAAAATTTTTTAAAAAGATTTAATTTATTTATTTGACAGAGATCACAAGTAGGCAGAGAGGCTCCCCACTGAGCAGAGAGCCGGATGCAGGGCTCGATCCAAGGACCCTGGGATCATGACCTGAGCCAAAGGCAGAGGCTTAACCCACTGAGCCACCCAGGCGCCCCTTTTCTTTTTTTAAAAAAAATTCTATTTTCAAATAATCTCTACCCGCAACATGGGGCTCGAATTCATAAATCCGAGATCAAGAGTCCCAGACTCTTCCAACTGAGTCAGCCAGGCACCCTTATTGTTACCTACCTTATAGGACTGTTGTAATTATTATCTGAGTTGATATTTCCAAAGTACTTAAAATTGGAACAAAGTCAGCTCTAAGTAAATGTTTGTCATATTCAAAAAATAATAATTCAGGCGATTAAAAAAAATGGGCAATTTAGGCTGAAGTTTACATTTGCACAAATAAGGACACTCTTGGTTTGGACGCTCTTGGATACTTCTGTACCCATGACTATCTTTTAATTTCGATTACAATGAAATAAAAATTCAACTTTTTAATTGCACTGGCCACATTTCAGGTTCAAAAGTTACATTTAGGGTGCCTGGGTGCCACAGTCAGTTAAGCATCTGACTCAGGGTTTCAGCTCAGATCGTGATCTCAGGGTCATGAGGTCGAGCCTAGCATGGGGCACAGAGTCTGCTTGAGATTTTTCTCTCCCTCTTCCACTGCGCCTCCCACTTGTGCTCTCTCTCCCAAATAAAAATAGCTTTTATTAGGTTTTTTTTTTTAACATTTTATTTATTTATTTGACAGAGAGAGATCACAAGTAGGCAGAGAGGCAGAAGAGAGAGAGGAGGAAGCAGGCTCTCCACGGAGCAGAGAGCCCGATGCGGGGCTTGATCCCAGGATCCTGGGATCATGACCAGAGCCGAAGGCAGAGGCTTTAACCCACTGAGCCACCCAGACGCCCCAAAAATAGCTTAAAAAAAAAAAAAAAGTCACATGTGGTTAATGGATATTGGCTAGCATATACTTCACAAGGTTCTACCGAGCAGTGCTGGTCTAGTGAATTTCTCTCCATGCAGTGTGTGTCATTGACCTGATGCTGATGTACTGACTTGTTACCTGAATAGCTGAGACGTCAGTATAAAGCTCAGAACTCCACTGTTGCCCCAGTGATAGTAGAAGCTGAACCATTTGAGCTCAGAAGTAGAAGAATCAGACCTGGAAACCCTGCTTGCTGTGTCTTCAGGCCTTGGATAGGAGGATACAAGCAGCCGCAGCTATGAGGGCTTTTACCTTCATGAACTTGGCCTTTACCATACCCCTAAACATCAACTTATATGCAAGCCTTTAGAAGTGAGTTTGTTTTAGCACTGTACCTTTTGCAGTCCTGAAGGAAGGGACGTCACCGATAACCGCTTGGTGGTCCTCCTGGCCCTGAGCAGTGTGTTTCCTCGGGTTATCTCCTCTGTCTCTGCTTCTACAACATCAAGTTGTATAGTCGCTTGGAGAGAAGGGAGGGGGAAAAAACCTGTAAGCATCTCAGAGATAAACTTTTTCTTTTCTTTTTTTTTTTTTTAAAGATTTTATTTATTTGAGGGAGATCGAGCGAGAGTGGGGCCTGGGCGGGGGGGTTGTGCAGAGCAAAGGGAGAGGGAGAAGGAGGGAGCCAAAGGCAGACACTTAATGGACTGAGCCACCCAGGCGCCCCACAACGATAAACTTTCTTATTAGACAGTATTCCGAAAAGACTGCATCCCATGCTGCCTCAGTGGCTTTTTCCCTTCGGGTTAAAGATTAAAAAATGACTTTGCTTTTTCTAATCTTAATACTTTTTCCTAGAAACATTTGCCTTTTCTTGTGGTCATGACCTCAGGGGTCCCCAACCCGTTTTGGCAAGGTGCTTATGTCTCCTTCAGACTTCAGTTTTGCCTTTTGTTACTTTTTCCTTTAACTACTATGGAATTAGAAAAAGTAACCCTCTCATGTGTAAGATGATCACTTGAGTACTTGTTACTGATTGAAGGAGTGTTTAAAGTGCCTCATTCTCTAGTGATGCGGCTCAAGGCTCTGTCATCACATTACCACATTCATTGTTTTTCTCATTTTCCAGGAGCCGTGTGAACCCCGGCCCCCTAAATATTTTTCTTTATATCAGTTCAGTTCTTAACACAATAAATGCTTTTATGGTAACTTTGGTATGGAATGGCAGGTAACTTTAAGACACCAGCACAAATCAAAAACCAGTGTCATAAATAGGCATTAAAATTAATATGGTAAAAACAAAATGTCATTGCCTGTGGATGGCACTAAATTTGAGATTTTTCTCCTTTTCATTAAAAAAAGAGGGCAGTAAATGAGGCTTTTATTTCCTGTTGTCAAAAAGATTGACAGGAACATTGGGGAAGAGGTGTTTGCTATTCACTCTGTGTTTCAGGGCCTTCCTGCTGTGCTCACACCTCCAGCCATCTTGTCTTGCTTGGGGTCCATTGATAAGGACTTCACTAGAAGTGAAGTCTGCCCTCAGAGCAGGTGAACACCCCAGGGACTCTTCCCTCCCCCTGCCCTCTGCCATCCAGCTCTTCCCCAGATCTTCCAACTTCTACCTACTGATGCTTCTCCCTTTCCTCCCCACCCCCACTGCCGCCACTAACTAAGCTACTATCCTTCCTTGCCTGAATCAAGGTAGGAGGATTTTGCTGTTCTTCCTGCCTCAGCTATGGCACTCCTCCCATCCAGTCTCCGCTCTGCAGCCTGAGCTATCTTTCAAAGAGAGGCAAATCAGATTATATAAATCCCCAGCTTGAAAGTATTTGATGCTTCCTTAGCAAAAAGTTAAAAATTCTTAGGAGAAAGTTAAAAATTGTTAATGTCACTTGCAATACCCTGACCACCTTATTCCCCAGCCTTTCTCTGGCTGAATTACTTTCATTTCCTTATTATACCCTGTGTTAACACTGGGATGTGAATATGCTCTCCCTTCCTCCTGGAAAACTCTTCCCACATCTGACTCTAGTTGTCCTTCAAATCTCAACTGAGTTGTCCCTTTTTGGAGCAGGCCTCTCGGGGGTAGTTATCTGCCTAATGTTGGAACGTCCCTCCATGAGGGCAGGGACCATGTCTGTTCTATCCGCTACTCTATGCCTAATTGTGTGGCAAACACATAAGTATTCGGCAAATATTTGTTAAAAATGTTGCAAGGGTCGATGGGGAAGAGACACTATCTTTGGGCTATAGGTGAGAGTGTCGTAATGTTAGATCTGTGTCCTGAAAGACAGGTTTCCTGAAGAAATCTTGGTTGTAGAGATTGGTTAGTCCAACTAAGAGGAGAAAATAAGCCAATGCACACAAAGGAGGAGGAGGAACTGATCCTGTTTCCTGCTAGGCTCTTCAACTCTACAGCCATCAGTATAGAAACATGCCATTTTTGTTATTGTCAATGAAAATAGACAGGTGAATCTATACCAGCTAATTGCTAGATGCTTGGATGCTAGCATTAGTGACTACTTTTTCCAAAAGGGGGGGGGCAGTTGAAAGGGTCATCAGCCAGCTGGGAGTCATCAGTTTTGGGGGGGCTTGTTTTCTGGAAAAATACTCACTAGGTATGCAGCCTCATCATTGTGTGAAATGTGGGATCACGTGTGCATTACCTACAGGTACTAGAAGGGCCATATTGGTTTCCTGATGCTGTCCTATAAAGGACATTAAGAAGCTACATGGGATATTTAGGGCAGTGAATTTGTCCTGTACGACACTGTAATGGTAGATACAGGACATAACATGATGGGTTTGCCATATTAGGGCAAGATGTTAATAATGGATGTGGGTGGGGTAAGGAGAGAGGGTATGTGGGAAGTTAATCTCCGTATCTTGTGTTCAATTTTTCTAGGAAACCTGAAACTGATCTTAAAAAAAAAAAAAAATCAAGTCTATTAACTTAGAAAAGCTACAGGGAAGAATGTGAGTTTTTTTTTTTTTTAAGATTTTATTTATTTATTTGACAGACAGAGATCACAAGTAGGCAGAGAGGCAGGCAGAGAGAGAGGAAGGGAAGCAGGCTCCCTGCTGAGCAGAGAACCGGATGCGGGGCTGGATCCCAGGACCCTGGGACCATGACCAGAGCCGAAGGCAGAGGCTTAACCCACTGAGCCACCCAGGCGCCCCAAGAATGTGAGTTTTAGTGGTATTGTTAGTCATAACTCAGAGGACACCCACCCCCCCACCCAACAGCATTACTACCTTGCAAAAAAGACTCACATTTGATCTTAGCCAAAAGGCCGAGAAGCGATTGCAAAAAAGACTTCAAGTTAACAGTTCAAATGCTGATTCTTCCACAAGGTACACAGGAAGTAGATACAATAAAAGCAAATGTCTGGGGTGCCTGCGTGTCTTAGCGGGTTAAGCCTCTGCCTTCAGCTCAGGTCATGATCCCAGGGTCCTGGGATTGAGCCCTGCATAGGGCTCTCTGCTCAGCAGGGAGTGTGCTTCCCTCTCTGTCTCTGCCTGCCTCTCTGCCTACTTGAGATCTCTGCCAAATAAATAAATAAAATCTTTTAAAAAAAATAAAAAAATAAAAGCAAATGTCTGTTATGACTTACCAATCATAAATTTTATTCATAGAATTCTTCCCACACCCTCCACTGTTGGAAAGTAGCTATATTGCTTTCCAGGCTGTATTACGACTTTTCCCAGAAATAAAATAAAAGAAAAATCCCACTTTAGTTTAATTTTTTAATGTATATGCATATAGCCGTATATTATATGAGTATATATGCCTGTATATATGCATGTTTAAATAAAAAGTGGCTTTAGAACAGTTAGACCATGAATTGGACTGGGAGGGACCTTGAAGACAATGTCATTCAGAAATTAAAAATGTCTGTACAGGCAAGTCACCTGGGGCTCTTTCTACAATGCAGATTCTGACTCAGTAGACCCAGGAAGGGCCTGAGATTCTGAATTTCAGACAAGCTCCCAGGAGAAGCCATACTTTGGGGTCGCAAGGAAAGTCGTCCTAACTTCACTATTCCTCTTGGCCTTGACACTTAAGGATAAGTTGCCTTTGATTACCATTCTGCGACAGCTTTCTTGTTCTTTGTTTTGCAAATAACCTGGGGGCTGGAAGCTCCTTGACAATTCTGGGAAGAAGGCTCTGTGTGTTGGAAAGAAAGGATTCCTTTTGGTTAGTGGAGACCCCTCTGCCAACACTTGCCCATTTGCTTCTCCATTTGTAGGACAGCACCCTTCCCAAAACCGTCTTCACTTTTCTCATCACATTTTTTCTTTGGTTTTGCTGGCTTTCATGAAATTCCATGTCACTATCAGCAGATGATTCCTCTTTGGGGACCAATACATTTTGTTTTACTAAGTTGGTGGACACGGCTCTATGCCACCTGAACAAAATAAAAAAGTATTCGTTTAAGGAAATTGAAAAGTCAAAAACAAATAATTTAAATAATCAAAACCCAAACTTAAATTGCGAACAAATGATCCAATTCCAAACAATAAAACTGAACACCAAGAACCAAATCATAGACAAACAAAGCCAAAGCAACTCCTCTGTGTTTTGTAATCCAACTGTGGTTACGTGCACTCTGACCACTACCTCATTCTATCCTCATAGCTCCGTAAGAGGTAGGCTATACTCTCATTTTCATGGCATTAATGAGTTAACTGAAACATAGAGAGGTTAACTGACCAAGCATAGAAGGCAGATCTTAATCCAAGTCCCTGACTGTTAGAACACATATTGGCAAATTGGTAACTTCCTTTCAATGATGGCTAGATGTCGTTTTTGCTGGATTTGGTGGCTTTCAGTCTACAGTGATGAAAGATGAGCGATGGCTAGGGTAGTGAATAAGGTCTGTAGTCTCCAAGGCCCTGTAAATGATGCATGTATATAAAACACTCATTTAGGTAGAATAAACTCTTGTTTCTAAGATTCCAAAGAGTCATACACCATCTTCATCATGGCAGCCTACTTTAGTAATATAAACAGGTAATGGGGGCATCTGGGTAGCTCAGTTGGTTGAGCGTCCCACTCTTGATTTTGTCTCAGGTCATGATCTCAGGATTTTGGGATCAAGCCGGTGACAGGCTCTGCACTCAGCAGGGAATTTGCTTGAGATTCTCTCTCTCCCCCTCCTTTGGCCCTTCCCCCCATTCACACTCTCTAAACAAACAAATAAACAATCTAAAATAAAATACAAACATGTTTCTTAATAATGTTCTATGCACTAAACGCTATTCTAAGTTTTTTATGTGTTTTATGTAGTTTACCCCGCCTCCTGTCATCTCTGTTTTACAAATGAAGAGATTAAAGCTTTTGAAAGAGAAGTGCCTGGGTGGCTTAGTCATTCCTTAAGCATCTGTCTTCAGCTCAGGTCATGATGCCAGGGGTCCTGAGGTGGAGCCCACATCAGGCTACCCGCTCAGCAGGAAACCTGCTTCTCCCTCTCCCACTCCCCCGGCTTGTGTTCCCTCTCTCACTGTGTCTCTCTCTGTCAAATAAATAAAATCTTAAAAAAAATAAAGCTTTGAAAGATTAAATAACTTAGTGCAGGTGATCTGATCCCAATGTCTGTGTTACTCACTATTCTAAAATAAACACACAGCCTCACACCATTATTTAGCTAATATTCTTCCTCAATGAGCTTTTATTTTTAATGTCATCCAAAGCAATAATATATATAAAAAAAAATCCAAGAGATTTAAAAAAATTAAACCTCTTATTTTGAAGTAATTGTAGTTTCAGAGACAGTTGTAAGAAATAATACAGGGAGATTTGCCCAGTTTCTTCCAATGGTAAACTCTTGCAAAAGTGTAATTATCACAGTATTGATACTTTTTTTTTAAAGATTTTATTTATTTATTTGACAGACAGAGATCACAAGTAGGCAGAGAGGCAGGCAGAGAGAGAGGAAGGGAAGCAGGCTCCCCGCTGAGCAGAGAGCCCGATATGGGGCTCGATATGGGGCTCGATCCCAGGACCCTGGGATCATGACCTGAGCCAAAGACAGAGGCTTTAACCCACTGAGCCACCCAGGTGCCCCAGTATTGATACTTTTAAGATACAGAACATTTCCATCACCTCCAGGCTCTTCATGTGTTATGGCTGCACCCATACCCCCACCACCTCCTTAAGCTGGCCTCCATTTGTATAATTCTGTCCTTTCAAAATTTTATCTAAATGGAATCATATGGTATATAACTTTTTGGGATTTACTTTTTTTTCATGCAGCGTGAATCTCTGGAAATTAATCCAGATTGTTGTATGTATCAATTTTTCCTTTTTGTTGTTGAGTAATATTCCATGATATGGATTACCACATTGTCTAATCATTCACTCATTGAAATTGAAAGACATTTGGATTGTTTCTAGTTTGGACCTAATAGGAACACACCCATAAACGTTTGCGTACAGGTTTTTGTAGGAAGATGCATCTCCACTTCTCTGGATGAAATCCCAGGTTTTATATTATGTTATATTATGTTTGCAGTACATGTAACAGATTTGTAATATGGATTAAAATAAACTCATAACTATTAAAAAATGTTCTTCGTATGCTACCTAAAATATCTCAAGTACTACCAGTAGCACATAGACCATTCTCCAAGAAAATACTGTTCTAAACTAGAGCTAAATCCTTCAACTTCTCTGTAATTACATTTGGGAGGTAATTCAGAAGACCTCAGTCACTGGAGTTAAATGGTCTTGTTCAAACCAGCACCAGACTTCCTAGCTATGTCATCCTGGGCATGTTATTCAATCTCTTATAAGCTTAGGTTTTCTCATTTGAAAATGGGTATACTGTTTTTAGAAATGTGAGCATAAAAAGAAATAATTCATGGGCTTGAAACCTAAAAAATAATAGCTTTTATTAATATGGATCAGAGGAGTGAAGGAAAAAAGTAAAAGGCAAGAAGGGAGCTCAAACAGGAGGTCGAAAGAAAGGGGAGAGCCGGTTAGCTAGCCAGCCCTCCCTTCTGGGACTGAACATAGACCATCTTCCAGTCACACACACACACACACACACACACCAGGGGTGCTATTCATTTAGTCATCATAGTGTCTAAGTTAACTACAACTTTCTAGATGATGGCAGTAAAGAGTCTTGAGGATGGAGTGCCATTTTCTAATTTGCCCAAAGACCATTTATAGTCTAGGATTAATCTTCCCTAGAGCCCTGCGAGAATCATTTAATAAAGCCATCCATTTCTACTACCATAAATACACACACACACATCCCCAAAACAATGAAAATACAACTTCAAGAGGCTCAAGAACCCCAAAGGCCATCCACTTATTCCCCCAGGTTAAAAGTTCAACTCTAAGTAGTCTGAATCTTTAGAATGTATCTCCTAGGGCATCCCCTCCACCCTCATTCCCGATTTATTTATAACATAACTAACGAAGGTGATTTTGCTCGGGGGGGGGGGCTTGGAATAGAACTGTAACAATTTCTGTTTTGAAAAGAACCCTTCTCTTCTTAAGTTTTTAAGTATCTCCATTGGTAATGAATGTAATTTGTAGTATTGCTTCCCCCTTTAAACTCTTTTTCTTATTGAAAGTGGAACTCTCAGCAATATTTCATTTTGTCCATGGAAGTTCAGAAGTTTGGTGTTGGAGGATTCAGGCCTCATCAAAACACCTCATTCCTACATGTCTGGTAAGAAAGAAACCAAAAGAAATTGGAAAATAAATCATCTCATTGATTTTCCAAATTAAAATATATAATGTCAGGGTGCCTGGGTGGCTCAGTGGGTTAAAGCCTCTGCCTTCGGCTCAGGTCATGATCCCAGGATCCTGGAATGGAGCCCCACATCCGGCTCTCGGCCTGGTGGGGGAACTGCTTCCTCTCTCCCTGCCTGCCTCTCTGCCTACTTGTGATCTCTGTCTGTCAAATGAATAAATAAAATCTTAAAAAAATAAAATAAAATAGATAATGTTTGGAGTATTTCATTGCCTGTCTTTACAGCTTTTCCACTGACAGGAAATACCAAGTTTAAAATAGTTTTAACATTACATTAAAGAGCACACACAGCGTGACCTACAGTTAGTAGATATCTCAGTGCATATTGCTGGGCAAGAGAACAGAAAGCATTGATCATGGACTCATCTCAAGGGATACACTATGGAATTTTCACAATCATAGCACTTGCACCGGACACGTGATGTCTAAAATTCTGAGACTGCGCTTATTTTCGCATCATATGCCACATTAAAACGCAAACTCAGGTGGAAAGGAAAGCTTTTTCCCCATTATGATTACACTCATAAAATGAGGCTTCCATTGTGTCACTAGGTTTCCTGACCAATGTAGCGATGCGGTGCCTCCCCCACCGCCAATCCGTTCAGAGCATTCATTTCTAAAGGCAATGCTGAAAAACAGATGCTAACTTTTCTAATCATCACAGTGACTATCGCTTAATGCAAAAATCCCAAGAATATTGCTCAACAGAAAAGAAAATGAATCCCATTGTCCTACCTTTCAATTCCCCTCCTTTTGAATGGGCCGTTTTTCTTCCTGGGTTGCTGGAGTCTTCGGTACTGGCCGACTCTTCCACAGGCACCCTTAAAAGACTCGGGAAGATACTGCTGAGGGTGGTCCATTGCTGTGAAGTCCTGTAGCTACACCTGTAGCAGCTATTTGGGATTTCTCCAGCTCTTGAGCTCCCAAACGACAAAACAAAATCATCAGGTACCAGAGGCCCTTTTAACCTCTGGGCTGTTTTGGGGAAAGTATGTAGGACATTTTTGGAATCGCTTTCTTATTCCCTTCTAGGTGTGAGAGACATCATTTGTGGGACTGGCCCTGTTTACCAACCTCAGAGAGGTTGGGAATGATGCATTTGACAGAGTGGTGGGAAATTCCAGTTTGCTTTGTGGAACACGTGCTCTAGATTCCTGGGCAAGGCAAATGCAGAAAAGGTGACCTGATTTTCTAACCACTATCACTTGGGTTGGTAATAAAATAATCACACACCACCTGATTATGACATTCGGATGTGTGTGTTTGAATCCCAAAGAGGAAAGGCTTGGTAGGAATCCCAGTGATCCCAGCTTCTGTTAGATATCTCAGCTAGAGCTATGAATATTCTCTCGGCCTGGGGTGGGGACACACATTAAAAAAGCCAGTTGTTATTTGGGTATCTCATAGTACACCCCAAGGCTATTTTATTATATCACAGAATTTTGTACTGGTCTCTCAAGGCCGAAAAAGTTGAGTGCCTGGTCCATCCTTCTAACTTACCCCATTTCCCAAAGAGGAAATTCTGCCTGCAAATTCTTCTCACCGCAAGGTGGCAGCAGACACTAGGATTTAGTCCCATCATGCTCAATGGCGTTTTTGAGTTTTTTAGCCGGAAGGAACTGGATACTGAGAAAAGAAAATTCTAGAAAAGTGTGGGAGAGAGATGCAAGGATTACCCCGCTTTTTGGGTTTGTCCTCATCAGTAATCTGAAGCATACTTCTCAAACTTTCATGTGCACACGAACTACCTGAGGGTTTTATTAAAATGCTGATTTTAGGGGCGCCTGGGTGGCTCAGTGGTTTAAGCCGCTGCCTTCGGCTCGGGTCATGATCTCAGGGTCCTGGAATCAAGTCCCGAGTCGGGCTCTCTGCTCGGCAGGTAGCCTGCTTCCCTCCCTCTCTCTGCCTGCCTCTCTGTCTACTTGTGATCTCTCTCTGTCAAATAAATAAATAATAAAATCTTAAAAAAAATGCTGATTTTAATATAGCAAGTCTGGCATGGGATCCAAGAATTTGCATTTCTAATAAATTCCCAGGTGATGCTGATGAAGCTGGTCCACAGACCACACCTGAAATAATGTAAGAAAGAGCTTAAAATAGTCAAGAATGAAGTGTGTTACTTGGAGGGATTAAGACAGTTCTTGTTCTAGCCCCACTGTCAATTCACTTACCCTATCTGTGCTTGTTTTCCCATCTGTGAACTCGGGTTACTAATACCCAAGTCACTGGAGAGTGGGTATAGGTGGTCTTTCGAGAAGCAATAAAACGCAGCATACATGATGTGTGTTAGCCAAAAGGGCTTGCGGTTCTACCTGGTCTGTTTTTCTCAGCTGTTGGCATTCCCAGAGGGCAATAAATAACAGGTGCTTGAAAGAACAAATGAATGAGCATTTTCTTTAACCATGAGCCATTTATTTTCACTGGAATAGTTGTCTTAATTCTGTTGTATTTTGTCAAATATCTGGATGAATGCAATTAATTCCATGTTAGGAAAAGAGAGTGGATTTTTATTTGTGTCCGTATGTCTGGTGTGTGTACATGTCCATGAGGGTGCAGGTGTGTGCGTGTGTGTAACAGGCAGAATCATTTGCTGGTTTGGCTTCTGTCACAAATGGCACAGTTTCTCCAAGGCATCCTGGAGCAGCTGACAGAGCTAGTGAGTAGAATAGAGAAGAAAAGCTAGGACACAGACAGAGAAGCAATTTGAGCCAAATCTGTTTTTAAATTCTAGCTCTGCCCCTTATAGGATGTGGGTCCTTGGGCAGAGGACAAAATCTCCCTGGATCTCCATTTTCTCATCTGTAAAACAGGGAGAGTCACCACTGCCTCCCAAGAACGCTTTATTCATTCTCTGACAATTACTTGAATGCCTACGGGTGCCAGTGTTATTCTAGATGCCTGGGATCCTGGGAAACAACGCACCCAGAGTCTCTGAACTGATAGAATTTACAAGGCCGTGGGTGAGGGTAGCAACAGATAAGAAACCAAATCAATGAACTTCAGCTAGTGGTAAGGGCTATGAGGACGACAGAAAAGGATGTAGGTGTGAGAGTTTTCACATCAGAAGAGGAGTCGAGGAAGGCGGGCCTGCTGACGAGTCACTGAGCCTTAGAACTGAACGAGGAAACAGTCGTGTGAAGATCTGACTGTCCCAGGTAGATGAATCAGCAGACACCAAAGCCCTGAGGAGGAGGAAGTCTGGTGTCTTTGAAAATACCTAAGGTATAGTGGTTGCAGCAAAGCTAGGCAGGGCCAAACCTGCTGGATTCTACAGAACAAAGTAAAAATTTTGGTCTTGATCTATAGAGCAATGGAGAGGTGTTAAGGGTTTTTAAAAAAGCATTTGAGAATAATTGAGTCGTGGGAAAATATACATAATATAAAATTCACCATCTTAACCGGTTTTAGGGGGACAGCTCAGTGGTGTTATGCATAGTCACATTGCTGTGCAAAATTGCCACCGAACTTCTTCATCTTGTAACACAGAAACTCTGAATCCATTCAACAGTAACTCCCTATTCTTGCCTTCCTGCCTTTCCTCCCCCTGCCTCCAGCCTCAGGAAACCACCATTCTGCCTTTCTGTCTCTGTGACTTTGATAAGGGCTTTTAAGTAGCTAGTCATTACATATGTATTCTGTGCAAAGGGGATTTGGCCTTGAACAAAACAACTAGGATCTCTGCCCAGGAATGACATCCCGGTAGAGGAGAGAGACACCAAACCTGTTAACAGATAAAGCACTGAAAAAGAATGCTGTGAAAACTCTAGGAAAAGACGACAGAAAGCGAGAGCGTAAATGGGAGTTTCTGCCACAGCGATCAAAAAGGTGTCTCAAAGAGGTGACATTGAGGTGAGACAGTTCACGTTGAAAAGGAGGCAAACTAGGGTAAATTCTGGGAGGAAAAGTAGTCCAAAGGTAGAAAACTCCCAGGCAGTTTTCTCAGATGGGTGGGAAACGGGACATGTTTGAGGCCAGAAAGGAGACCAATGTGGTGGGAGCACAGGTGACAAGGGAAGGCAACATTATGTTTGTGTTTTATTTATTTATTTATTTTCAAGATTTTATTTATTCATCTGAGAGAAAGAGAGAGACAGAGAGCATAAGAAGGAGGAGTGGCAGAGGGAGAGGGAGAAGCAGGCTCCCCACTGAGCTGGAAGCCTGACTACCTGGGATCGATCCAGAGATCCTGGGATAATGACCTGAGCCGAAGGAAGACGCTTAACCATCTGAGCCACCCAGGCGTCCCTATGCTTGTGTTTTAAAGAGAGTGTTCTGTTGGCTTGGGAAATGCACTGGAGAGGACAAAGTATGGTTGTCAAGAAGCCATTGGGCAGGCAAGTGGTCCAGGCTGGAGACGGTGGCGCATAGGAGCCAACTGAGATAGAATGGTATAGATTCAGGAAAGAGCTGGGGGATACAATGCTGAAATGAGCGGAGTCTGGGGATGGGTGAGGAGAGAGCAGGACATAGAGCCTGGGCAGTCAGGCTGTGGCAATGGTTCAAGTGCGAGACTGCAGTGGTTTAATGGCTTAGGGGTTACTGGAAGCTAGAGAGAAAGGCACCAATGCAAGAGTCCCTGATACACCTTCTTTTCAACTGTCCTGCCTGGGGTATGGCTTGGAATCATATCCATATGGTCATTCCCTGGACATTTGTAAATGATCCTCTGAAAAGCCGAAAAGACGGAGCAGGGCAAAATCTAGTCGAAACACCGTCTTTATTGTTCCCAACATTATCCTTCTATTGAACATGCCTGAGATTGCATAATCTTATTTAGGGAACCATAACAACAGTCCACTCCTCTTGAGGTAGCAATGGACTGAAACCACTAAGTCCGAGACTGCCAACATGAATGCGGGCAGGCACCAGGCAGGGGAATGTGAGACGCCGTGAGATGCAGCAGGAAGGGGTGGGAGCTGTGGCAAACTGTAGGGTGCTGGGCTGTTCAAATGCTCCTAAACTTCAAATTTCTAAGAGTCCTCGTGCATTTAGCAATGTGATCTGCAGGTCTAATTGAGCCTGTGGATCACCTATTTGTTGTCTCGGGAGATTTTTTAATGTCATCTCTCCATTCAGTCAGCCAGGTCCTTCCCATCAGTGGCCCTAAAGCTGATTTCCACCCCCAATTGTAATTTAAATGTATTGACTTTTATCCATTTCGAGTTTATCTTTGTGTGTGGTGTAAGAGAATGGTCGAGTTTCATTCTTCTACACTTAGCTGTCCAGTCTTCCCAGCACCATTTATTGAAAAGACTGTCTTTTTTCCAATGTATATTTTTTCCTGCTTTGTTGAAGATTATTTGACCACAGAGTTGAGGGTCCATATCTGGGCTCTCTACTCTGTTCCCCTGGTCTATGTGTCTGTTTTTGTGCCAGTACCATGCTGTCTTGGTGATCACAGCTTTGTAGTAAAGCTTGAAATCAGGCAACGTGATGCCCCCAGTTTTGTTTTTCTTTTTCAACATTTCCTTAGCAATTTGGGGTCTCTTCTGGTTCCATACAAATTTTAGGATTGTTTGTTCTAGCTCTTTGAAAAATGCTGGTGGAATTTTGATAGGGATGGCATTGAAAGTATAGATTGCTCTAGGCAGGATAGATGGATAAAAGACCTCAACCTGAAGCAGAAATCTATCAAAATCCTAGAGGAGAACATAGGCAGTAACATCAGCCACAGCAACTTCTTTCAAAATATGTCTCCAAAGGCAAAGGAAAAAAAGCAAAAATGAACTTTTGGGCCTTCATCAAGATCAAAAGCTTCTACACAGCAAGGAAACAGTCAACAAAACAAAGAGACAACCCGCAGAATGGGAAAAGATATTTGCAAATGACAGTACAGAAAAAGGGCTGATATTTCAGATCT